GGGTTTAGGGTTTAGGGCTTGGTTGATGGGGTAGGGTTACCGTTTTGAGGTCTGGGGGATGAGGTTTCGGGTCTAGGTGAGTTTAGGTTTCAGGGTTCCATGCGACGGGCCCGAAACCTTCAACATCGAAGCTTTTTGGCCTATCTGCCCCGAGCGACACATCGCCGCATTTCCGGTTCAAGCTTGTTGGACATGTGATGCCTTGGGGCTCTACTCTTCAATGTCATTGAGTTTAGGGCTTCAGGTCTTGAACCCTGAACCCTTGAAGCCCTAAGCCCTACTCCAGTCATTGGAATCCCTAAAGGCTGCATGTCATCTATCGTTAAGCCCAAGGGCCCGTGTACTTCAGAGCCGTGGACTCCCCCAAGTCCTAACCCGCAAAAATATGTATAATGCTATCCCTTACCCGCAAATGACTCATATTTTAAGGCTTTTGGGCCCAAAGACCCTATTATATAAGGCGTTTGGGCTATGTTGATGCTCAGGGTATCGTAAATCGAGTACCTGAAGACCTGCCTAGTAAGGGAGCCGGGTTCATTATTCCGGCGTATACATTACTTGGGACGCTTGCGCCAAGCCCGCAAAAGCGCCTAGCCTTTCAGACGCAGATTGCTGCGACTTCCGTTTCCTCTGATGGCACTTCCTGGTGAAGCTGGTCGCATGCCGGAGGCGGGCTGACTGTGCAGGTAGTAGAATGAGTTGTAGCCGGGCGTCCTGTAGAACTGTCAAAGGAACCGCAAAACCACCATAAAACTCGTTCTCCCAGTAAGCATTAAGACCACTAAACCGCCCCAAACCCTAAAACCTTACAGAGCCATCATTGTGGAACCTTTGTTTGCAGCGGCATACCTTAAACCCTAAACCCCTAAATCCTAGACCCTAAACCCCTAAGCCCTAAATCCTAGTCTACTCTTTAAAGCTCCTACATGTACTTCGTTTTGTCCCTGGGCCTTTATGAGGAGATGTCTCCGAATGAGCTGGAGCGGGAGATTGCCACCACAGAAGAGACGGTCCAGGTCGGTTTCTTTCCCTAGCCTACGGCTTAGGGTTTAGGGTTTATGGGTTAGGTGTTTAGGGTTTAGGGTTTAGGGGTTTAGGGTTTAGGGTTTCGGGGTTTAGGGTGTAGGGTTTAGGGGTTTGTAGGGCTTCATTTAAGGGGCGTTACTTTGGTGGTTAAGCTTCGTTTTCTTGTCTTCACAGGTCATAACTTTTTAGGAATAGGTAGCATAAGGCATGCGGTTCCCTAAACCTTAAACTCTAAACCCTAAACCCTAAGCCTCTAAAACCTAAAACCTAAACCCTAAACCCTAAACCCTAAACCCTAAACCCTAAACCCTAAACCCTAAACCCTAAACCCTAAACCCTAAACCCAAACAAAAGCCCCTAGAAGACCCCAAGGCCCTGATAAGCTTTAACCCTATGGGTTTAGGGTTTAGGGTTTAGGGTTTAGGGTTTCGGGTTTCGGGTTTAGGGTTTAGGGAGCTTTAACCCTAATCCCTTCCCGAAACCCAGGCTCAAGGCATCATGGCGACACATTTTGTTGGTTTAGGGTTTTAGGGTTTAGGGTTAAAAAGACAAAAGTCCAATATTAGTAATGATTATGGATATTGGTATTCATTATTAATGTACAGATATGAGTTTTATTTTTAATCAAAACTCCAGCTATGATTAAAAACTATATACAACCCTTTTAAGCCCCAGCAGTCCTAAAGCTTTTGCTGGGTCAGGCGTTGCGCGGAGCCCTCGAGCAAGCGGAGGTGCTGGCAGAGAAGATGGGGTGTTTAGGCTTTGGGTTTTCAGGTTCCTTGTGTCATAAGAGCCTCCCTAGAAGTTACGAGGATTTTACGCTTGGGTTTAGGATGAAGTACAGGGTTTACGCTTAGTGTGCAAGGAATTGGGCGAAGGGATCCCACCACAATCTGCTTCTCTGCATTTCCTTTTTGTTACGTTGTCGGGGGTTGTTGGAGATGTAAGCAATCCTCCATGGCCGAAACCCAAGAACCAGACCCTGAAACCTAAACTCTAAACGCCGAAGGCACGATTGCTGACACTGCGTGCAGCACAGCGACGGCGCAGCAAGGGCGTGCGGGCCCCAGCCGCCACAAGAGCAAAGATGCAGAGCCTAGCAGGTCGGGAGTTGCAGGTAGGCTATTTTTGGGATCCTGGTTGTAACCATAGCCCAACCTACCCTATACCCTATACTAACTTGCAAGGCCCTTATATTGCTGTTGGTGATAAGAATCCTGCATTACGTTAAGGACCCTGAACTATGGAAATTATGGTATATTCCTTGTCAACAGTATCAAGGCCCCGATATGAGGATGGACATTGATGTTTGGGGGAGCTGGGCTGGCCAGGATCCTGCGACAAACATTGTCAAAGCAGATCGGGGCAGACGGATTTAGTTTCATGTAGGGGCCTTGTGGTATTTACCTATATTGTTTGAGGGGTTCCTTATTATAACTATACTATAAGGGGCCCCAAAACCTTATTCTCATCATTAAGGCCCCTATATGATGGCTTAACTTGAAAGCTATTCCCTAAAGTTTAGGGTTTAGGGTTTAGGGTTTAGGGTTTAGGGTTTAGGGTTTAGGGAGCCTGAAACTCTACACACTGGAATTGTATGACCCTTGATGATTAACATATGAAAGGCCCCAATGATACGAAGGATCTTTAGTGGGTAATCTCAGTTGTTGTAATATGGATATTATAGGGATATATACATATATATATATATACATATTATTTTGGGGTTCCTTTTTATATTTATAGTATAATGAGCCCCAAGACCCTTTTCTAATTGTCAAGGTCTCTACATTATGCTCCTACGTGTTTAGAAGGTTTCTTCGGCAACAGCAGCTTGTCTGGGCTCGATTCTAAACCCTAAACCATGTTGGATGGGTTTAGGGTTCAGGGTTCAGGGGTTTAGGGTTTAGGGGCTCAGGTTTAGGGGTTAACGGTGGCGAAAGTAAAGACAGTCGTGGATCATCGAACACGTCGAAGAGGAGAATCAAAGCAATATAAAAGCAATATGAAATTCAAGAAGAAAGAACTAGGTGGTTTGACCTTGCTATGATAAAAACGAAGTGTTCAGAGGAAGCCGCTTCAGGAACCAAATGCTTCGAGAATTCATAGTTTCACTGCTATATCCATAACATATATACATACCTACATACATACATACATACATACATACATACATACATACATACTTACTTACTTACTTACCTACCTGCCTACCTCCCTGCCTGCCTACCTACCTACCTACCTACCTACCTACCTACCTACCTAGCTACCTACCTACCCACCTACCTACCCACCTACACACATACATACATACATACATACATACATACATACATACATACATACATACATACATACATACATACACACACACACACACGCACATGCATATAGCTAGTTTAGGTGTTTTATGGGATGTGTGGATTCCATGAGCGGTTCACGGGGCTTCTACGCCAGCTTCATCCTAGCCTAAAGCCCTGCACCCGAAACCCAAAGCCCTAAACCCTAAGACCTGCTAGGGATGCAATGAACCCGAGGATGAGGTTGCCGGCAAGTCGCCGAGCCAAAAGATTCACGCGCCTCGGCTGCCAAGGGGTGCAGGGTTTAGAGGGGTTTCCGGTTTTTGCGTTTAGGGATGTTGAGGGTTTGGGGGTTCGGACTGTTGAGGTTTTAGGGGTTAGGACTGTTTAGGGTTTGGGGCTCTTTAGGGTTTAGGTTTAGGGATGTTTAGGGTTTAGAGCGTATCGTCGGAGACCCAACGCATGCAATATGGAACCCTGCATAGTCATGTGTATATGTTCTGGGCTCCTTACCAGCAAATAGAAGCATTTGTCTAAGTATTCAGGCTGTTGTGGTAGGCTTTTTTAAAGGTTTCTTAAGACTTTAGAGTCCTAGTGGTTATGGAGTTGAGACAAGCCTCGTTGAGGAACACCAGTGAGTATGGCGTTGCTTCAGGGTTTAGGAGATGTTTGCTTTAGGGGATCATATAGTGAGAGCGTTTGGTGCCATTAGGTACAGAGTGAAAGCCAGAGTGGCCCTGATCCCTGCAGTTGTACATGGATCCCGCTATCAAAAGACTAAAAGAAATGCTAGAGACTAGCATGCGACATGGGATGTTCCATGATTGTAGGAGTGTAGAACTCACGAAGGAAGGTTCGTGAGTAGTTATGAATAGGGTCATCGTATCTCCCAGGCTCCGAGCGTCACGCTCATATGGGGTTTCCGACAATAGGGGACCCTAAAGTGGCGCCCGAAATAGTAGGGTCCTTATTATCAGGACCCCAAAACATGGTACCCCCTCATTTTCGGAAAACTCCCCTATGGGTCTCCGGATCAGGGTTCAGGGTTTAAGTCGGGTCTTTTTTGAGGGTTTAAGGGCTGAGGCTTTAGGGCTTATATTATATTCAGGGTTGAAGTCCTTTGGGGGTGAGGGTCCTCTTCAGAGGTTTAAGGGTTAAGGCTTTGGGGTTTAGGCACCTCGGATTAGGGTACAGACCCTTTCAAGCATGAAGCCAGGGGCCCCTGGTGGATAGTATAGGGGCCTCAATAACTAGAATAGGGTACTATAGTTATAATAGGGAACCTCAAACTACCTAGACCCCCCAACTACCCTCTAATAGACCCTAAATACCTACTATTACGAGCCATAAGGGCTCCATTAAAGGGCCCTTGGGGGGTCCTGGTAGTGTAGGTAATGATTAAGGCCTCTTCATTACTGTGGAACTGCTGACTCCAGAGATCCTACAAGCCAGCCTTAATCCTAACTCCTAAACCCAACCTCTAAGCTGACTCCCTAAACCCTAAACCCCTAAAGCCCTAAACCCCCTAACCCCCTAAACCCCTAAACCCCTAAAACCCTAAACCCCTAAACACCTAAACCCCTAAACCCCTAAACCCTAAACCCTGGCCCTAGACCCAAAGCTTTCCTGATCTCCGCCTTGAAGCCTGACAGGCACAGTTTGGCAAATTCGGGAATTGGCTGGCGAAACAGAGCGAGATTTTGCTCCTGGCTCAGACAACTAGGTAACTAGGTATCCCAGTATTACGCACTTGCCCATTTATTATTTTGGGTTCTCTTTATCAAAACTGAAATAGTAGGATAAAGGGTAAGCTTGTTACTATGGGGCTACTGGAGGACCTAGAATGTCAATAGAGCCTTTAGGGGGGAGCACATTACAAGAATTATTATGGTTGTGCTTCTGTTTCGTTTTCTTGAAATAGAGGTCGGCGGCAAAGCTCCATGAGCTACACAACAAAGGGTGTATTGTGTTCCGGAGTCGGCCTTATTTACGGTTTAGGGTTTAGGGTTTAGGGTTTTGGCGGTGCATATTTGCCCGCAGTTGCAGGCTTCAGGGTCGGGGAGTGTGATGTTTCAACTCTAGAGTAAGCAAGGTACCTCAATAATGGCAACTGTACCGTTTGTTAGGGTCGTATCCCTCTTTACAGGTACATTGCTTACTCTAGGTGTGGTGTCCATTGTACAGTACAAGGGTAGAAGATGTTGAATGCTATTGACATTTCAGCCAGTCCATCAGCATGCGCGCATGCATATCTGATTAAGTATGTGTGTATGTATATATGTAAAGAGATATATACAGTTCTGCGTAAATAACTAACTAACTGAATAAATAGATATTTACACATACATGCATGTATATGTGCATATATATTATTTATACATACATGTGTATATACAGATATATATATATATATATATGTATGTATATGTACACGGTATGTGCATATACACATACATATCGGTGTATATATATATATACACACGCACAGAAGTGGTCATTTGCTTCAGTTCTTGCTGCTGCATCGAGTATGAAATTTGGGGTTCCACTGCTGGGCCGAAGCATGCACCGTTCTGTCTTGGCGCTGCTAGTGCTGCGATAAGCGTTAAAGTCGCCACGATTACTTGCCCGTGACCGTGTCGGGATAATCCTAGACCCCCCAACTACCCTCTAATATACCCTAAATACCCACTATTGAGGGCCATAAGTTAGGCTGTATTGAAGGGCCCTTGGGGGGTCCTTTGGATGTGCCGAATAACATCAGGAGCTTTGCTCGTCCTTTGCACAGATAATGTCGGGTGTTGCTCGACAGCGGACAGCCCCAACACCTCAAACCTTGGAGCCTTAGGGTTTAGGGTTTAGAGCACCTCCTTGCACTTACCCATACCCGTAGGCCCCATAGTAGTTCCTTTTTGTGGCTTATATTTAAGAACTTATTAGGTAATCCCAAAAAGGAACTACTACGGAGCCTTAAGCAGTTCGGTAAGCCCCTTTTTATCAGTTTCTTATGGAACCCTAAACCCTAAACCCTAAATCCCTTTTTGCAGACCCTTCAAGCTCGAGCATGTGGGGCCTGAGGCTGCAGCAGGCAGAGGCTGCAGATGAGAAGGAGGCCAGACATGTCGGCTCAGGGTAGGGTTAGAGTTTCTGGGCTTCGGGTCTCTTTAAGGGCAACTCTAAGGCTTCCTTTCAGGGATCCTATAGGGGTTCTACAAAGGGTTTGTGGTTTAGGATTGCATAGGACTGCATGCGCCCCAAAAAGTGAAAAAGGGCTTTGGTGCACCAGGAAGGTGATAGCTAAAGGGCATGGTCTTACGAATCATTCAGGCCTCTTTGCTGCCTCCTCAGTCTGCTGTGGGGTTTGGGGTTCTATGTAGGGGGTCTTCTCTCATGCTCTCTGCCTCTCTCTCTCTCTCCCTCTCTCTCTCTCTCTCTCTCTCTCGATTCAGACAGTGGTACATACTAGTTTTATAAGGACCGTTCCGATGGACAGGCCCCAAACACCTGGTTTGAAAATAAGGTAGAACTAGTAACTAGTTGATGTGTACCCAGGCTTCCGGCTTGATGCAGCACAGACGAACACTTCTTCCACCCTCCGGTACACCTACACAGCAATCAGGGGCCAGCCCGATCGGAGGGAGTCCGCCTGGGGTATAGACTCTTTAGGGTTTATAGGGTTTAGGGTTTAGGGTCTAGGGTTAAGGGTTTAGGATTTAGGATTTAGGGTTTAGGGTTTAGGGTTTAGGGTCTCTCCCGGTTTTTACGGAAGAGCGTCGTAGGCTATCCCTTGCCTTGGCAATGCTGCCCGGATAAGATTCATCGTTTCTCGCCCCACAGAGCCACCCAGTCCACGCCCTCACGTAGGTAGCAGGTAAGCGCCTAATGTGCGCCTAATGTTAGAACAAGTGTGCACAAGGGACCACATTTGCGAGCACGAGGCCTGCTAATAACAACACCCAGGAACTACTTCGGAACAATGGTTTCCAGCAGCCTCTCGACGCCAATAGGGATCATAGCTCCCAATCCTTTATGGCATAAACCTTAATAATTACATTTCACTCGTCGTACGCTATGTGTGGATCATTGCGTACTTGTATGGATAACATGACATACAGTACTGATACTGTAGCAAGAGCACTCCCTAAACCCTAAACCCCACTGATCATGTTTGGGTGGATCCTTCCGTTCATTGGAGGCCGCGCTGCGTCGTGCTGCGATACAAAAGAAGGAAGACGGAGCCGAGGTTTCGAGTCAGGAAGCTTCAAGATATGGGGGTTTCAGAAAATAGGGGACCCTAGTATAGCACCCTAAATAGCAGGATCCTTATTATAAGGACCCCAAAAAGGTACGCCTTATTTTCTTAGACTCCCATATAGCTTGTAGGGAATTCGAAGACTTAGATTACTGTACTACCGTAGTTATTCAAGCCCGTAAATTAGGCATTCATGTGGGCGTGACACCAGGGGTCTTTGTTTGTGGATTTCTAGCTGTGGGGCTTATAGTGCTGTGGGATCTTCGGCATGTAGTAAGGGCTCTAGATGGCTGTGGGCAGAAGATGATTGCATGCTTTCTTCGGGAAGACTGCAATGCAAGTCAAGGGTGCTCTGGTGCAGGAAGTGTTTAGGGTTTATAGGGTTTAGGGGTTGCGGGTTTAGGGTTTAGGGGTTTAAGGTTTAGGGTTTACGGTTTAGGGATTAGGGGTTTAGGATTAGTAGGGTTTAGGGCTGAGGGTTCAAAGATGTGTTACTGAAGCCCCAAACAATGAACGACTCAGTACGCGCCAACCACGCCAGCCTCATCATGACAGAGCATAGCTTAGGCCCTTGAAAATTGATTTTAAAACCCTAATGTCGAGTTCTTCGCGACCCAGAGACAAGGTAGGTTGTTGTTGGTTGAGATATATTTAGTATTGAGCTTGAGTGCCTAGCAGCTGAGGAGGCTATGCTTAACATTTTTGCTGCGCATCTACCTTTTTGGGGCCTGGGTACTCAGCAACTTGGTACGTCTGTAGGGTTTCCTAGCAGGTGTAGGGCTTCTGTTTGCAAGCCTGTTTTTCAAGCAACTTATCCTAAGCCCCGCAATTGCGTTGAGTCCTGAAACATGCCTATAGCCTGAATTACAGCTTCCTTAGCTGGAGAACCTCTATATGTAAACATGCAGATGCATTGTATAGTAAGGACTTTAGAAGTAGGCCGAAAAAACAAATGCTGCCACGCGGAGTCTAGGTAGGGTGGCAGATGATAGGATCTCAACCTGAAGCCCGAAACCCTAAACCTTAGATCCGAAGCTCCAACGAGAACAAGTACGATGAGTGTCACCAGGGTTCGATAACGGTTTCTGGATCGGGAGTTATATGAGGTTCTATACAGGAGGTTTGGTGTTTTGGGGGGGTTAACAGACTGATTGGGCCTGAATAAGACAGGCAATATTCTGATTCCTTAGCGTTCCTTCTTGTAACCAAAGCAGAATTTGCCTTGAAATCCTATTCCACTAATTCAGGCCCCTATCATAAAGCCCGGTAAACCCTTATGAGCCGTGTAGTTTGCTAAAAACGCTCATAGGAACCCTTGAAAGAGCACTTTTTCTACAAAATTGGTCCCCGATACCCTAAACCCTACTTAACCCTTGTAAGCCCTAAACCCTAAACACCTAACCCCTAAACCCCTAAACCCCTGAACCTCGGAACCCCGGAACCCTAAATCCATAAGGCTTCATACCCGTCGCAACTGAGCGAGGCGGCCCTCCGCAGTGAGGCGGACTTTCACAGTGCGCAAGTGGCCTCATTCCCAGGGTTTAGGGTTTAGGGTTTAGGGTTTAGGGTTTAGGGTATCGTCCAGGTTACTATAGTACCCTAAGGGTCCATGTACCCAAATAGTATATACTTTGGCCCCAAAGTACCTATATAGGGACTACATTGAGGCCAAAGTATACACTATTTGGGTACATGGACCCTTTGGGGTAGGGCTACCTACAGTCTCCAGTGCAAGTCTTTTTGTGGTTTTGCTGCCAATTTTATATTAAGGACCCCAAAAGGTAACCCAAAAGATGGACTAGAATTGAGACTATAGGTATGAGTCCTGAGACGGGTGTTATGATGTTTACCATAAGGGTTTATGTTTTGTTTAAGGCTTTCTTCCGGATGGTAGGTGTAGTGTAGATGTTTCCTGTTGTCCTCCTGTCCTTCGCTTTGTCGGTTTACTGTTTACAAATTCAACCCTAAACCCTAAACCCTAAACCCTAAACCCTAAACCCTAAACCAATTCACTTTGTCTCGGCGCCCCTTTCGCAACCGGGTCATGTCCGTTCATAGCCCACCAGAGGTTGGCATCGGTGCACAGTGCAAGCGGGTTTAGAGTTTAGGGTTTAGGGTTTAGGGTTGTATGTGACGTAGAGGCTTTCACGACAACTCATCAGTAGTTCCGCGAGTCATGACTCCTTCAGGACGAAAAGAACCTTAAAAGTTAGAGGCCCTATTCCCCTATACTATGAAACCCTATATGGTATATGAACCCTAAACCATTTCAGGGCCCTTTTCGTCCTCAAGGCTCAGGCCGTTTTGTATCGTCTACGGAGTTCCCATGTACGCCTCCGCTGACCTACATATTTTAAGCCATGGTAAACCTGCTGCTTACAGACGAATTCGTCCTAAACCATAAACCCTGAACCCTAAACCCTAAACCCTAAACCCTTAACCCTAAATCCTAAACCCTAAACCCTGAAATACGAAATCCTTGTTTGATCCTGAAGTTTTTGTCAGAGTTTCAGCCACCCCGTGAGGCCTCGATCCTGCAACTGACTGTCTATCACTCTAAGACTCCAGAGACTCCAAAACCCCCTTAATTAAGGAATTTAGGGTTTAGGGTTTAGGGTTTAGGGGTTAGGGTAAGGAATATACCTTAAACTATACTAGGAATCTTAATATGATTTTGAAGGTATATTCCTTAATTAAGGAATATACCTTAAATCATATTCGGATTCCTAGTATAGTTTAAGGTATATTCCTTAGTTAAGGGTTTTTGGAGCCTCTGGGACTCTAAACTCGATACGTCCAACACCCTAAGCCCGAAACTCTCCCGTTGTTGCCTCAGTTTTAGCACCCTAAACCCTAAACACCTAAACCCCGAAACCCTAAACCCCTGAACCCTAAACCCTAAACCCTAAACCTTAAACCAATAAACCCCTAAACCCCTAAACATCCTGAACCCTACCGTCTAAACCCTAAACCCTA